GTTATGGGAACACAAAGTCACATGACCTGGCCCAGGACCCACCAGACTGTTCAGGGTGTGTTATGTAGGGACTTCATGAGATAACATAAAGGCAAAAGCTGTATAAGAAACTTTCCAGAACATTTAAATGTCATGTGACATCTGTGTCACCTTCCGGTCCAAAATACAATAACTTTAACAGTCAATATGTGTGCTGGATTCATACATGTTGCTATATAGCATTTTGGTGTAACGATTATAAAAAAAAAAGACTGCAATCATTTTGAATAATGATTCACTCTTAGAATGACCGATTGTACTCAATTCTACTTAATTTAATGTTTTTGTTGCTATAGGCTCATGCCAATAAAGTTTATTGAATTGAATTTAAGAGCACTGCCATCAGCCACTGGGCAGAATCTCTGCTTATCATCACTGGAAGAACAGGTACCACAGCAGGCTATCATGGGTCAGCATTCATTTCTCAGTTTCCCATGATGCACTGCTACATCTTCCCTTTTAAGAGAACTTAGTCTATAGTGCACGGTTACATTTAATCAAGACTGGATCCGGAAAAAGATTGGTATCCATAGCCAGCAATACTGAAAAAGGCATATTGAAAAACCATATGGTAGAAAAGCATTCCTTTAATATGACGTAAATGCAAGGTTTCCCTTAAAGACATTTGAATTAACTCATGATGGTTGTGTCTTTACCACCAACTCAATGTCTTTTCTCAATACTGATGTTTTCATATGCTGCAGTTTTTAATAACTGCACAATCTGACATTTAATTTAACTTGAGTTCTATTATAGATGTGACACTGCTCTATGATGCACGGACAAATCTATTTACCACTCATATTTACACTTCTCACCAGAACTTTTTACAATTTATTTTTTTCCTAAAACTTTTTTGGAAAGCCTTGAAGTTGATCCCAACCTTAAAAAACAGCACTTCCACAAAACAATCCCAACTCAAGGTTCGCTAACTTGCTTTCTCTGGAGCTCCCAATCATAGCACTTTGTATTCTATAAAAAATCTCAGCTGTTATGATTTTCTTCAATGCATTTTGTAGGACTTATTATCTGCGTTTACGAATGGTGAAGGCTCTTGTAAGGACCTTCAGTTTATATTATTTTGTCAAACTTTTATCTTCGAGGTCAATCCTTTAATTTACAGCCAATATAGACAAGATATCTCTGTCTTCTGAATGACTGATGAGAAGCATAAGACATAGCTAGCTGTTGGACCTTGAGTCTGGATTGTTTTATCAAGCTATTTTCCCCTCCTTTTTAAAGTATAATGTAATTTTTAAACATGTGATTTAAACATTTCCTCTGTATAATGTTCTCAATACTTCTCATTATCGCTTCCACATTTTTAACCATTCATTCTTAATTGTTTTAGTCAGCTTCCTGCAATTGTTGAATAGGTAACTAGTAAAAAAAATAAAGAACATTTATTGTAATTTATTCTCTGTTTTAACTGGAAATTGTTCATCTTTTCTGCCCAAGCCTATAGTTTAATGGTAAGCTCGATTTTTGCACCACATTTGTACAACAAAATGACACAAAAATAAATCATGAAGTAAATCATGAAAACACATAAAAACCACCCCCCAAAGCTCTACAAAAACATTCAATTGCTCTTCACACAAAACAAACACCCAGCGTTAAAGACCCTGAAGAAACAGGGGACACAACAGAGTGTTCTTGTTGTAAAACCACAATAAAACCCTTTCACTGAGGGTCAATAAAAAGCCATTAAACCCTCATCTCACACACAGATAAATTAAAGAAGCAGTTATGTGGGTCATATGTTGACTTCTAAAAGTCCATTTTTGTTCCACTATGTTGACAAAGGTCAGCAACTTTTTGTCATCCTGACCGCTATACATCAGGACGATTGTGTGGCTCTGAATTGACTTCCAGTAGTTTAACGTCTATTGTTCCCGGCAGAACATCCTGTTCATCCTTTAGTGTTGAAATCTTTATTGTTGAATACCCCAAATGTCAAAACATTCTTTAAATTCATTGCTTTGAGGAATGAGAGAAAACCAGCTCAGGTACAAACATTCTCATACAAATGTCTAAAACTAGAACAAATTCAACACAGTTAGAAAACCCAGAGCATGCATTAACACTCTCCCTCAAACACATGTGCTTTGTTCAGTTTTCAGCCCTTTGTTGAACACAAACATGTTATTTTCTCTGCAGTACCTTTTGACGGAGGTGATGTTGACAGCTGGAGAGTTTGAACGTATGGAATCACATTTTGCTTTAGGAGAGTCCTAAGCCCATTCTAGGGATGTTTTATAATTGTGACACACATTCAACCCAATAATATACATAGACACAAGAGTAAGCATACTACAGCCCCTAGTTTTGCTGCTATAGGCTTAGACTGTCGGGGGACACCTTACTTCTTCCTTCTGTCTGTCTGTACCTGTGTACTCTCATGTTCCGAATAACCCAGCTTCCCCCAAATTAATTTTTGGTGTCTATCTACGCCGGAATCCTGAGTCGTGGCTGATCCTGAGTCCTAGATCTGAGTCCTGGATTTCGAGTCGTGGCTGAACCTGTCACTGTGGTCCTGCCTGACTTTCATCATACTACTTCCCTGATGGCTCCCACATGATTGTTGACATCCTCGTGGATTCATCTTCTTATTATAGACACATGCATTTCCAAACATTTGGTCTACCTATGCTGTAAAATGTATTATCTTTTCGATTTACACACGGCATCTATTGCACGTCTGTCCGTCCTGGGAGAGGGATCCCTCCTCTGTTGCACTTCCCTGATGGCTCCCACATGATTGTTGACATCCTCGTGGATTCATCTTCTTATTATAGACACATGCATTTCCAAACATTTGGTCTACCTATGCTGTAAAATGTATTATCTTTTCGATTTACACACGGCATCTATTGCACGTCTGTCCGTCCTGGGAGAGGGATCCCTCCTCTGTTGCTCTCCCTGAGGTTTCTCCCATTTTCCCCTTTAAACTGTGGGGTTTTTCCTTTTTTGGAAGTCTTTCCTTGTACGATGTGAGGGTCTAAGGACAGAAGGTGTCGTATTGTCATACTGATATTCTGTACAAACTGTGAAGTCCACTGAGACAAATGTAACATTTGTGATATTGGGCTATATAAATAAACATTGATTGATTGATTGATACATAATCATACAGTAACCTAATTAGAAAAGCGTGGGTGTTAAGTTGTTTTATAAAGCGCACAAAGTCCTTTTTTTATTTGAGGCTTTAGAAATTCCATAGTGACCCACTGTATTGTTACTTAAATGTCTAGAGAAACACTTGAAATCAAACACATCAAGTTGAATTAGAAGCGGACTACATCTATATAGAAGAAGAAAGAATAGAATAGGGAGGGATGAAACCCTCTTTAATGGTCACACATGCAGAGCACACAGCACACACAGTGAAATTTGGCCTCTGCTTTTAACCCATCCTAGTACAAGGAGTCTAGTACTAGGAGCAGTATATATAGTATATATAGTTCAATAACATTGACTTAAAGTGAAAGAATGCTACATCTACTTGAATATTGCAACGCTTTTCACGTCAGGCTTGAACTATGATCCATATTGGGAAAAAAACAAGGCTAGTGCCTCTAAAATAATATATAACCAAACTAACGAGATCAGTTTGAGGCCTTTTCTTGCTTTTTCTACCTCATCACAAGGGCCAAATATTGCATTTTCTGATTGACAATAAAAAATACATGTATTAACAATGGGATATCTTTGTAGTATTTTTAATGTAAATAACAAGAAATTAGTGCATCCAAAGAATTAACATAGACTAGTAGAGCTTGTTTATAGAAAATGATGTCTCTATGCAAAAGTGGACCTTGGGCAAAGCTAGTTAAGTATCCTTTCCATGAGTATCCTTTTCTTTTTTAAATATTATCATATAAATCAGAAAAAAACATACGAATATCAGTTCACTTTGGCAATTGACATAACAAATATATACACCAGAAATAAATATCAATGTGTAGTTTGTTTACACTGGGTCCCCTGTTACACATCTTCATATCAGTTAAAGACTTTGGGTGTTACGCAAGCAATCTGTTAAAAACAAATACATACCAACCATGTGTTATTTTCTTTTGACTAATATGACTTTTACACATGAAGAGCGAGACTGATATCAAGCTTAGTTGGTGGCAACAGTACATAAGGCAAATTAACTGAATGATCATCATATGATATACTTTGTTGTGGTTCAATAATGTCACACGTTGACACCATACATTAACTCTGCCTGTCTATCTTGAGAAAATGTAAGCACTCAGTGGCTGAGAAAACAGACCTATATCTGTATCTGCTTTTACCATGTCTTGCCTGTTCAACATATGGGGCGATATTTATCTTTACAATCGTATTTTCTCAACGGTAAAAAATGATAATAAAAAAACAAGACCTACTTTGGGGACAAAACAAGGCCACACAACCAACGAAAAAGACAAAAAATATAGTAAAAAGTGTATTATTTTCAAACATGTTGTTCAAACATGCAAAGGGACAAAATATATCCAGTAAAATTGAAAATAGCCATCAGTAACATATAAACATGCTGTATTTGTATGTGCTTTTGCTTTTAAAAATATTGCAATAAAAGCAGAAATTAGGACTTGTTGAAAGTTGCCTAACTGTTAGACAAAACATAACAAAAACAGAGGTGAAAAAAAATATTATTGATATATTAATATTTCCAAAGCTGTAGCAAAAGGGGCAATATTTATAGCCAATCAAATAAAAAATGGCCATCAGTAACATTCATGTATTTAGTTGTCTGTGCTTTTAGTAGATTGCTTCTAAAAGCATTGCAATAAGAGCAGAATTGATACCGAAAGTTGGAGCGATATTTTTTGTAACTAAAGGAGATTTTTTTTCAAATGCCAGCTGTCAAGATATTCAAAAATAGCCGATTTACGTGGAAATAGTGGATATAAGTGTGCACCTAACTAAGTGTAGCACAGTCGCTGTTGCGGCAATAAACGGAGCAGTAGAGGAGCTACAACATCCGGGCAATACTCAGCTTACACAGAAACGGAATGGCGGAGGTAAGTGAGCGAAAACGAGGAATGTAACGAGTCAAATTAGAGAATAAATAGACCGAATTTAACACTTTTGTCACGTCGTGGGGCACAAAAGAGTGTTACGGTGTCAGCGGCTGGGAAACCCCGGTTCAAAGAGGGGCTACGGGGGTGTTTTAAGTGAAAAAGCGGGGGGAGAAATGGAGAAGCTCTCCAGCGAATCGCCTCTCTCCGCGTTCTTAGCTTTAAAGAGCCATTCCCTCCTCCGCCTTGATAGTAAATCCGCAGAAAACAAAAGGCAGGGGTCTAACACGGTGGTGCTGAACTGTTTCAGGTGCGAAGTGAGACGAAGTGAGTAGAAAAAGTTGGGAGGGATGTCACGACTTGTCGGCGGTAAACTCCAAAACGTCCCTTTCGGAAATATTGAGAAACTAGTTCCTTCTTGTGTAGCCGGGGAGGAAGAGACGTTCAGCACCAAGTCACAGGAAAGCGCCCCTGGTCAGGCACCCAATGCTACAGACACACCTTATATTTATATTTTACACTGGACTTTTTTATCTAATTTACCAAGAAGTGGTGTGTGAAGAAGTTTAATGTAATTCAATGAGTGGTGGCACGCTGTTTGAACTACGGTGGGCTACATCCTCTGTCCTGTAGCCCGCTGCACGAAGTTTCTACACTTCTGTGTTAACCTCTTATGTGGCCTCAACTTGCATGGCTGCTTCAACTACATTTGTCCCACTTTGACTTCATTATTTTAGCCGAAAGCCTGTATAGAAAACATGTTGACAAAGTAAGAGAATGTGTAGTCACCCCATATGGAAAACTATTCGCTGTTATGTGTGTTATTTTTAAGTACTAGTATCACACCAAAACCAAAGCTGTAGTCAGTGGTGTAAAGTAACTAGCTACGTTTACTCAAGTACTGTACTTAAGTACAGTTTTGAGTTACTTGACTTGACTATTTCCACTTTCTGCTACTTTGTACTTCTACTCAACTACAACTTTGTACTTCTCCTCAACTATAACTCAGAGGTAAATACTATACTTTTACTCCACTACATTTACTAAGTAACTTTAGTTGCTTTTCAGATTTGGATTAATGATGTGAAATGTATTCAACTCTTAAATCAGACTTTAGTTCCACCTGGAGTAAATTCACAAGCTACCTTGCAGTATACAAAGTCATTCAAACTAGCTGCACCTTTACCAGCTTTGATAACACTTTAATGATCAATAATTATAATCAAAACATATAATATATATTATTCTTAAATGGGCAATTCTGCACAATGACTACTTTTTACTCTTGGTACATTAAGTATATTTTGATGCCAATACTTATCTACCTTTACTTGATTAATATGTTGATTGCAGGACTTTTACTTGTAACAGAGTATTCCTACTTTTACATCCTCTGTCCTGTAGCCTGCTGCACAAAGTTTCTTCACTTCTGTGTTGACCTCTTATGGCTGCATTAATTACATTTGTTCCACTTTGACCTTCTTATTTTAGGCCAAAGCCTACTTTGGAAAACATGTAGGAGAATGTGTATGAAGAACTATTAGCTGTTTTGATTTTAAGTAGTAGGCCCTTTTATCAAACCAAAACCACAACTGTTGTGGGTTTGTTTATTTTCGGTGATTTCAAAAGATGAAAAGCTACAATTGAGTGCCACGCGTAGATTACAATGTATAATACAACTCGTACAACTACAGCAGGTCGCAGTTTGAGTTCAAAATGGTGGTTTAAAATAAGAAGGACTTTTTCGCACTTTTATAAAAGCAGAGTTTAAAGTTTGAAATAAATAAGAAAAATATAAAAGGATAACCCTTATATAATTAGATACAACTTAACACATCAATAAAGTGGAGATACAAGTGTGTGCCAAAAAATAATAATTCAAAAGTCAGGGATCAGCCATTTGATTCTTCATGTTGTTTGTGTGGCAGGAATGTATAGGAATGTACCTCCATGTTGTAATTCCTTTGCATGCTGCTTTACGTGACAGTACAAATAACTCGGTGTTTGTTTGTGTCTGCAGGTGGGTGAAAAGCCCCTAAAGAGAAGTGTGCATGTTGTGGTCTAGTGGAGAGAGGATGAGGAACTGTGAGGAAGACCCTCAGCAGGAGAAGCAGAAGTGTTAACCAGCCTTAGAGGAGTTTCAGAGGACGTTCGCCCCATGAAGATGGCCGCGCAGTCCCACACTGTACGCTCAAGTTCAGCCATCTACACTAAAGTTAGTAACTGTATGAACACCACAGACACTTTCTGCAGACGTCACTGCATCACTAACAAACCCATAGTCACATTATTCTTACTATTCAAAATGTATGCTTTGATTGAAATCTCTAAACTCATAATTTAACAATTGACCATGGTGTTATGAGTTTGTTTCCAAATGTATCTGAAGTTTGGTTTGCAAGATAATTATACATTATTCCCAGAAATATTATGTAAACAACACCGTTTAAAATCAGAGGACCAAAATCATTCATCACCTTATGTAACTAAATGGAAAAAATAAACAAACAGATTAAGTTCAGATATTCACACATCTTTTTTTCTGTAAACTGTTGACAAAAAACCCTCAGACTAAAATGAGCAATGACCCTGTCACCTTCTTGAAATCTTCTGGGCCAAGACCAAGCCCAGTGCATTCAGTCTACTTTAGCTAAAAGTAGACTGAAATTTGTTTCTGAAAACATTATAGGCGAGAAATAAGCAATGCAGTAACCACATCTTGATTAATATTTGATATTTTAGCTTTTTCTGCGTTTTCTCTACCTGTGGTTTAATCTTGTAAAAGTTATTTGGAGCGCTATTAGAAGTGAGAGGGAACTACTTTTCTTACAGATTTGATCTGCCGGGATATAGTGTTGGTTTCAGCGAATATGAGGAAAAACATTGTTTACAAATGAAGTTACCAACTGTATCTTTAAAGGTAGGGTAGGTAAGTTTGAGAAACCGGCTCGAGATACACTTTTTGTTATATTCCATGGAATGCTCTTAACATCCCGATAGCAATGAATATCTTAAGTGCTTTGACAAAAGATCCATAGAAAAATGTCATCTGTGGAAGCTGTAGTACTGTAAAAAGCACGACCAATCATGTTAGCCGGTCCGGCTAAAATAACTGGATGGCCTACCTGCCTGTCAGCCTTCCATCTGTGCACAAACTTATCTCGTGCCCTCATTGGTCATGTGCACGTTCGTGTGTGTTGGAGGAGGGGCTCTGTAAGGAAGTGGCAGATTTTCTCCGGTTGTGTATTTTCAAATTCTAGCGCACTCGAGCCGGTTTCTCAAACTTACCTACCCCACCTTTAACTCCTTAAATGTGACTGACATGAAGAAGGCTTTTTCTGGGTTTAACTTTGAAGATATTCCGGTTTGTCCTTTGTCCATTTGCCTTTATCAATTCTCCATTTGTTATGAGTTGGAAATGTCTTTCCCATTTGAGAGGGACTCTGCAAACTGAGTGAAAGCTCGGGAGACATTTGGGCAAAAAAAAGAAAACATATACACATCATTAATGAACTGACAGTCTAGAAAATGTGGAAGTAATCTTCTCCCTCTGTAACTGTGTGTCTGAAGGCTGGGGAGCTTCCTCTGGAGGAGCTGCTGGCTCTGTACGGCTACACCATGTCAGACCCAGAGAAGGAGACCTGTCACATGACTGCCAGCCTGCCAGGCATGACACTGGACAAGGTGAGATGCAACGTGAATGACTGAAATGCGATTACTTAATTCTGTGTTCTCCTCTGTGCTTTGATTTCATTTGCTGTTCCATTGTTGTATTTGACAGGATCAGATTACAGAGGATCTCTTTCCTGGGGAGGGGGAGGAGGAGGAGGAGGAGGAGTCGTCAGCTGATTATCTCACCCCTTCCGTCACCTCAAACACCTCAGATCTGCTCTGCCGCCTTCAAGGTAACAAACACATAGACGTACACATTTACATCACCATATCGCGCAGAATAAAAGGAAAGATAATTGTGGGTTTGCGTCATAAATTCAATTCAAACGGAACAGCTTTTGACCCAAATTGATGATCTTTTCAGATGAAACCTTTATGGTAGTAATAACAGAAAGCACAATTTTTGTAACATTTGATTTTGTGGTATATTTTTCCAACATTAGATTTAAAATCAGTGCTTTTGCTGAGATTGCAGCGTGTTATTTACAGCTAGGCAGTACAAATCAATAAAATGACACGCCACCAGTGCCAGGAAATTACATTTATTTCTGTATAATATCATATGAGAACTTCCTGGTATGCGACCATGTTCTGCTTTATGTGTCTTTGTCCAACTTTGTAGTGACATTTTTGTTGCAGAGTCCACAAAATATCATGAAAACCAAATATGTGGCATGTATGCAGCTTTGTCTGTTTGTTTCTCTAAAGCCATAGTAGAGGAGATGCCTTTCGCCTCTTTGATTCTTCATCCTGAATTGTATTTTTACAGAGTTTAAAGTATTGCATTTTTTTTTTTTCACTAAGTCCACTCTCTCTCTCTATAAATCCCAGTATTACCCACTTCTGCTTCATTATCTCAATAGGCTTCACTTGTCGAATAATGGTTAAAAAAAATTAAGAATTACATATAGACTTTTGCAAATGAGGTTTCGAAAAAAGTTATATTGCTGGATCAAGAGTTTTGAGATAATTTCCGGACATGCAGTTACTGTTGAGGATTTAAATAAAACCAAAAGGCCGGATAAATTAGATTAAAAAAAAAAACAGTATGACACATCCCTCAATTTGTTATTTTGAAATATGCGAAGACAGATATGTAATCTTAGCCAAAAGACAAATGTGGAGACTGACATCCCAGAGTTCGATTGGATGACTCAATGTAATGTAGCAATAACAAGAAGAGAGAGAAGTGCACACACAGCAGCAGTAAAATCATTTAAACGGTAGATTGTGGGTTTTCAGATCTATCTGTTCTTGTTCAAACTTTAAGGACCATCAGCAATACCCTGAATGATCTTGCCATGTTTATCACCTTAGAGCCAATCAGGCAGACCCTCAACATCATAACTCCTGCCATCAGGAAGGAAGCATCTTTTTTCAAGAGGCCCCCAAAAGGATATCTGAGATCATAGACCTAGTTTCCCTTCCACTCCGAAAGGACTGATGGACTCTTGGGTTCATTTATTGCAATTTATGATAATGAAAACCCCCTTTTGTCTACTGTTTAATGTATATATATTAAAAAATATTGTATCATGTGTATTGGTTGTGTTGAATTCTGTTAGCAAACCGAATTGCTCATCAGGAAAAGATGATCCAATCCAGTCAAATATTCTGTCTTTCAGGTGGAGACAAAGACACATTAGTCAGCTCATCAGATGAAGACTCGGATGATGCCTCTATTCCCTCCAAAGAAGAGCACAAGGTAGGCCACTCCGGGCAAAAACATACACAACACAACAAATAGGAAACTATAAAAATCGGTAGAGTGCAGATTCGTTGCCACCACTGCTGTAATGTTTGACAGAATGAATACTAACCACAGTTGTATAGCCCCCTTTCTTAACCGCAAGGGTGTCAGATGCTTTTTTTCATTCACACCTCTAACGCAAGGAACGCACACTCATTGTAATCCTGTTGCATCGGGTGCTGAGAGACAAAAAACCTCTCAATCACAAACAATTTCACCTATTACGTAGTTCAAACTCCACAAATAAAGCCTTAAATAAAAATGAAATAAAAGGTAGAGAAGCGGGACCCTTACATGCACACGCACACAATCCACAGGAAGCAGGGTTTGGTCTGTGTGTGTAAGTCAAGCTGTTATGTGCACACACACCTGGCAGTGGAGGTTCTTACTCTGTCAAGTTGTGAGTATGCAAACAAAACTCTACAGCAGGAAAGGGCACTTCAAAATATAAGCTTAGACCTGGAAATGAATTTGACTTTCTGATGATTCCTTTCAGAAAGACCCACTTTTGGACTGCAACCAACCAGTTAGGAACCTCCACCATAAAGCACTCGCTTCTATATCATCCATATTATTGTAAATGTGACCATAATTTATGAAATGATCATCATGCTTTATGGAGAAGACTTGAAACTAACGATTAAGACCATAAACTCAGCAGGAAAAATGTACTGAGGTAATAATTCAAGTGAGAAGTTGATTTATTCATCGACAGTGGCGGCGCCAGAGTATCTTTGTTGGGTAATCTATGGTAGGGCTAACCCATACAGTGGTGGGGCTCAAGTCAGTATTCTCAATGTAATTACATACACGCTATATCGCCCCCCCCCCCCCTTGACAGATTAACGCCACGCGTGAGGTCTAGATTATTTCCCTGTCTCAATCAAAATGGAACTGTTTGAAATAAAACGGCACATTTGTCTTGTAGTAAATAAAAAGGGATCACGTGACGTATGATAGTACACGTTGAAGATCCAATGGGGATACTGAATGGCGGTTCCGATTGATCTCAATCAGTAATGCATGACGCAGACCCAACGTTTCGTTGCTCTGATTGGCTGTAGGTCTATTCAAATTGCATTCAGAGGCATTTTGATCTGACCGCGGCCGCGTCTTTCCACACCTTTTAGTGTATAAAACTCCCCCACTACTTAGACTATTCCTTGCACCCCTCTTCTAGCATAAGCCCGAATGGTCTCAACCATATTGCATCAGTAACGTGCACTTACAGCAGGATCAGTTTGTGTGTTGTGGACACGACTCGTATATTTTCGCAATCCGTGTTCTCAACATTTAGCATTTTGCTTATTATTTAATTTAATTTGCTTACTTTAACATCATTTCTCATGGTGGGGCTAAGGTGGGGCTAAGCCATTTCTTGGTATGGCTGTAGCCTACCCCAGCCATACCCTGGCGCCGCCACTGTTCATCGACAACCAGAGAAGTCCCTCTGATATTCCAGAGAGCACAAGTTTGAGACACTTCTGAATTGGCTTTATTCTTCAGACCTGGTGTTTGCTGCTTGCTTACATTTACTGTGACTACACCACTTCACTTCTAATTCTTCCCTCCAATCGCCAAAGCTGTCTGCCCCTGAGCGCAGCCAACGCCTCTCTCTCTCTCTCTCTCTCTCTTTTACTCTCTCAATGCCCTATTGAGCCAGGAATATTTATTTGTGGCTTATGGCTTAAGATAATGTGTAATGATTGACTTACTTTCCAATAATGTGTCTGTCTTAGACTTAATCCTTAAAGCAGCAGAGCGTTAGATGTTCCTGTGTCTCCTATACTTTGTCATGAGTTTAAATCATTGACTGCAGGACTTTCTGAATTCAAATTGATTGATTGATTGAGGCCAAAATCCCAACCTAAACGTAAACTAAGCTTCACATTGCCGGACTTAAATAGCATTGTACAGAAAGGACTGGCTCCACGTAATAATCATTCTGGTATCGGGGGGGGGGGAAACACTTTTTTGTATTCCTGCAAAATAGAAAGTGCACATAGCGTGAGATACAAGGCTGATTGCAGACTTATACCCACAGTCTACATCTGATGAGTCAGACTGAGCCCAAACTAACATCCCAGGACATGGGACAAGATTTCAACTCAACCGTAGTCGTCACTTACTTGCTGGCCTTACTTGAATGGTAATAAAATGCAGCACTTAGAAATGTTTTCATTCATGCAAGCCAGAAAAAACACCCCTCCATTCCAAATCTAAAGTAGCCTCGTCCCTTTGATCTGAGACCTGGTCAGGTCTCCCCGAAGAAGCCTGCCACACATCATGTCTTAAAGAGTGTCTTTTTGGGTGTGTATGACCCATTTGAGAGCTTTGACAGATTGCCTTTGATTCCATTCTCAGGAGATCATGGTTGGCTCTATGTACCAGGCCAAAATCCCTCCACTCAGTTCATGTACCAACCAGAAGAGAGGTAAGCCTGTGACAAGATGTGAGGATGTTTTCATGGTTAGAAACTAGTGTAACTGCTGTTGTATAGAGAATAAATGTAACATGTTTCATGAACTGTGCATGAAACAGTCCCAATAACTAAGTCATGTCAGGGTTTTAAAGCCTCTGTGTAGAAGTTGGAAAAGAAATAGATTATCAATCAATCAATCAATGTTTATTTATATAGCCCAATATCACACATGTTACATTTGTCTCAGTGGACTTCACAGTTTTTACAGAATATCAGTATGACAATACGACACCCTCTGCCTCAGGGAGAGCAACAGAGGAGGGATCCCTCTCCCAGGACGGACAGACGTGCAATAGATGCCGTGTGTAAATCAAAGAGATAATACATTTTACAGCGTAGGTAGTCCAAATGTTTGGAAATGCATGTGTCTATAATAAGAAGATGAATCCACGAGGATGTCAACAATCCTGTGGGAGCCATCAGGGAAGTAGTATGATGAGTCAGGCAGGACCACAGTGACAGGTTCAGCCATGACTCGAAGTCCAGGACTCAGATCCAGAACTCCGTGTTGTGTCATGTCTATTTATACTGTTCCTGCTCACTGCCTGTAGCACTTCGGGATTTGAATTCGAATACGAAGTGCTTTATAAATGGAACCCATTATTATTATTATTATTATTATTATAACTCAGGATAGAGGATCCAGGACACAGGACCGCAACAGGATCAGCCACGACTCAGGATCCCGGCGTAGATAGACACCAAAAAGAAATTTGGGGGAAGCTGGGTTATTCGGAACATGAGAGTACACAGGTACAGACAGACAGAAGAAGTAAGGTGTCCCCCGACAGTCTAAGCCTATAGCAGCTAAACTAACGTGTCTACGTACATGGACTCCCTTAGGATAGGTTGAGGGAAAGGGGTAGCAAGTAGGAAGTAAGGAACAGAGGTGGAGAGGCACAACGTGTCTACGTACATACACTCCCTTAGGATAGGGTGAGGGAAAAGAGTAGGAATTAAGATGTATGCGCCACATCTATACCATGAGCGCATTGCTCCTAAAACGTTTTTTGGCACTGACACCAATCAACAGTTGTGCGTCGACTCGGCAGGGATCAAGGCGCGTAAATGCCTCTCCCTGCTTCCACCGTCTACACACACAACCAATTACATACCATCAGTAAGGAAAAAGAGTAAGAACTCAAATGTATAGGTGAAGAGGCACAACGTGTCTACGTCAATGCACTCTTATTAGATTATTTTATCAACTATAAGCTTTATCAAAAAGGAAGGTCTTAAGCGTACTCTTAAAAACGGATAGGCTGTCTGCCGCCCGAACACAAACTGGAAGCTGATTCCACAAAAGTGGAGCTTGATAAAAAAAGGCTCTGGCTCCCATTGTACTTTTAGAGACTCTAGGAACAACCAACAACCCTGCATTCTTGGAACGCAATGCCCTAGTAGGACAGTAGGGTATAATGAGTTCTTTAAGGTAAGATGGCGCCTGCCCATTAAGGGCTTTGTATGCGAGAAGAAGCATTTTAAATTCTACCCTGTGTTCTATAGGGAGCCAGTGTAAGGCAGCCAGAACAGGAGATTAAAGGTTTTTAAGAAGTCACTGCAAAACACTTTTCTGTTTTGCTCTTCTTCCTCTGCCGCCTCTCTTTACCTTCCTCTGTTCTTTTAGCCTGCAGTGGGGAGGACCAGTTGTTGTGGAAGCCGGGCGTTCTGCCGGTACAGGAAGTGGAAGAATTTTTGCTTAATGCACAGAGGCCGTTTAACCAGGAGGGGGCAGCGTGCACACAAACACAAGGACACACTGTGCGGGACAACCAACAGGTAGGCAACTTCATACTGCATCACATAAGACAATGTAGGGGTAACAATTCAACTCTAATGATCTTAGAATTTGGTTTCGGCAAACATTATTGGGATTTGCATTTGATTATTGGGACTGGGCTGTAAAATACTTTCTTGTAGCTGGCTTCACATTGTATCTTAATTTCACTGAAATACTTTATGTCTCTCAATGGTTGCTCTGATTATTGCTTGAGTATTTGTTTGCATTCTGTCTAGTGGTCCAGATAAAGAGAATGGGGTTTGTGACTAAACTTATAACATCTTAAACAAAACCAAATGACATTTCTGAATAAGACTCATGCTGGAAATCTACACTACAGTATGCACTTCACACTCTAGACTCGTTTCCTTGCAAAACATGTCACCATTTTCTCAAGGTAGGAAAATTCTTCATTAACTGGTGTAATGTATAACTTAATGTATATGACAATAATCACATGCTTGAACTTCTACCTACCCTAACCTAATGCAGTTGGTGTGTTACTGAAAGAGTGCTTCTGTAATCAGCTCAGTGTAAACAGAGATCAGGTTCTGCAGCTATTCTCTTTGTGACAGTCTGACCCTTTTCTCTCACCCCTTCTCTTGATCCTCAGGCTCTGTACGAACTAGTGAAATGCAACTTCAATGCAGAAGAGGCACTGAGACGAGTAAGCTTCAATGTGAAAGTGTTCAGTGGTAAGAAACTGCTATTATACTTATTAACAATGCACTCACAACCAAGACCGTGATAATGAAATCCTCCCTAATATAAAAATAATTGTATTTAATTTAACTCACAAGTGTTTCTTAATTCGCCTCCCTCTCTGTAGAAGAGCTTTGTGCCTGGAGCGAGGAGGAGTGCAGGAGCTTCGAGCACGGCTATCGGGTTTACGGGAAAAACTTCAACCTCATCCAGGGGAATAAGGTGAGAGCTCAGTCTTATCTGTCTGTAGTACAATGTGTCTAATGTTTTAAATTATTATAAAAAACATGTTATTTTTCATTTCATTTACATTTTTATTTAGTATTATTTCAAATGTCCTTTTTGTACCAATATTTGTATTCTATTTTATTTTATTTTGTCGATTTAAATATTCCTATTTTTTTTTTTGTTTTTTCTTAAATGGAACAATTGTCATGAAACCTTTTCCCCCAGAGGATAAAATTAAGTATTCTAAATTGTTATTGGGTGGGAAGTAAAGGTAACGTGTTCCTCCTCCTCAGGTACGAACGCGCTCCGTTGGGGAGTGTGTGCAGTATTACTACATGTGGAAGAAGTCTGAGCGCCACGAGTACTTCACCCAGCAGACGACCAGGCTGAGCCGCAAGAAGTTCAGCCTGCAGTCAGGGAGCATGTGAGTACTGCTGCAACAACAATGACACAATGTAAAGTCTATCAAAGCCTCATATGGAGGATAACCATGAGCTCTTTAAGTATATAGACTAAGACAGTGGTTCTCAACTGGTCAGGCCTCGGGACCCACTTTTTCCTTTGTCAATCAATCGCGACCCGACATTTTTGAACCACTCAAATCGATTCAACAAAAAATCGTGCTGTAATATATACGCTTTTCAGCATACATTATTAAAGTGAAGTACAGTGCATATATCCCTTCACTAAACTGAAGAATGCTTTTAAATAAGGTTTAATGAGATGATGGAATCAAAGCTGAACTGTATAACATGCTGAAAACCCAACGCCCAAAGGGGGGTCTGGGGGGTTTCTCCCCCAGGAGATTTTTTGAAATACTAACATATAAACTACACATTCTGGTACACTCTGAGAGGAAAATAAATAAATCTATTGCTACCCGACATATTAATAATATTTTATGCCATTGTTTGTTTTTCACTTAGTTCTGACAGCTTGCTGCTCCACACAGAGAGAAGAGCAAAGAGTAGATAGTCTGTGTGAATTACTTTCAATTGTGGGTAAGGGTAGATAGCCCCCATTGTTCTGTGACCTGTCAATCATCAAACCGGGGGTCATATTTCATTATGTGTTCATTTTTATCTGATGTTGTACCCATGGATGTATAAAGAGTAGTTCTACCGCAAAGTTATTCTCCGTGGGGACTTCTGGCAACAATCTTGATTCTGATTGGCTAGAAGACTCGAAAAAACATCAGCAAAGATGTTTTATTGAGAAGATGCTACGTGACAGAAGTTTTCAAAACCGTTTATGGTCGGTACTTCCAGTCCAACGCCTGCATGCACAGCGTTAGAAAATCGGGCCTTCAAAATAAAAGTTTGCCTTTTTTCCTAAAAAATAAAAAATGTTTTTTTTTCTTTTTCAATTTCTTTTTATTCACTCACACATATGCGACCCACTTCAAACAGGTCCGCGACCCCCTTTTTGGGTCGCGACCCACCAGTTGAGAACCACTGGACTAAGAGATCACGCCTGACTCCATACATACATGTTGTGTGAACATGCACATGAGCCCTTTCTCATTTCTGCTATTCAGTTGAATGACATCCCAGAATATTAGAGAAGAGTACGGCTTATTTCTTCTGCTCTGTTTCCCAGAATATGCTTCTATTGTATTTATTCCTGCAGTGAGGATTTCCTGCATGTTCTCATCTGAACTTGTCCAGTGATGGACTGCGGATGGAAACTAGCTCAAAGCTAAATCTGGCATTGTTACGCTTGACACATTTGAATGTTTTAAGTGTTCATTACTGTGCATTGTCCCTGCCAAATAAACGATTTAAATAAATAAATAACTTCCCATTAAATCTATAACAGTCCTGTTCCCAGAACCTCTTTGAGAAACACCAGACCATTTTTAAAGCTGTTCATTTATTTATTCCCATTAGCTGTAGCTATTCTAAGTAGGAATCCATTGGGTATCCAAATCATGAAAATGTGTTTTTATCCTGCACTTCTTGAAGCTGAAGCATTGCTGCAAAGCATCCCGATGAAGTAATGCCTTTTAACTGGAATTCATGTTTATTTTATTATCCAGAGAAACAGGTTTCTTTGTGCCATTTCTCAAATTCTTGTACGAAATGAGTTTCCATTCCCCTCCATGTGACCAATGTGATGAGTTCAGGGCGTGTGCATTAGGGTGTGTAACTCTCCTGCGCTGTGTGTTTAATCTGTTATTGTTGCTTGATAACTGTACACCATTGATGCTTACACTAACGGACCGTCCACACAGCAGCGTTAAAAAAATCTTGGAGGTGGGCGTATCTGAAGCTTGGGGATTTTTTGCGAGCAAGGCACCAACAACCAATCACATGAATCTCCCGCCCCCGACATACGAAGCAAAAAAGCCCGAAGTAAACTGGATATAAACTCCCCAAACAGGTGAAAACCTACCACTGTCTCTGCCACCTCCCTCCATGCCTGGCTCCTCCGGTTTATATCCCGGTAGGTAAATAGGGACTGGTCATAAAGCACCGGGTGATTCCCTACCGCTAATTTCTCCTCCATTTTTTGGAATCTGAGGAAATGACCTGCGGTATGTCTCTCCCAGCATACACGCGGTTTGATTGGCTAGCGCTTGAACTGTCAGATTTGCATACACGGGATTTGATTGGCTGACGCTTCCACCTCAGCTTCAAAAGTTGAACATTGCTCAACTTTGAATCCTGAAAATCCTGAAAATCTCCGCTCTGCTGCCCACAATGCAGTTCGGCGAAAAGTGAGGCAAAGTGACGTCACCCCATTCAAAGTGAATGGGCAGAAGCGTTCCAAGATTTTTTTTAACGCTGCTGTGTGGACGGGCCGTAACAGTGTTTTGTGTGTTGCAGAGAGGATGGAGAGCAGGACGGGGAGGTGGAGGGAAGCAACTCCTCCTCAGGCTTGTCGTCTCGGGGCTCCACGCGGCAGCTGGAGTCCCCGGTCCCTCCACAGTCCAGCCTGGAACTGGACAAACAAGGTAAACAAACACAGGATGTGGTGGATCAAATACTCTCTTACAGAAGGCCATAACTAATAGTGAAGCGAGGGTTTCAGCCCTAAGACCCTAAACTATTATTCCTATGATCTCATGTTAAGGCAAGACAGAACCGCTTTGAAACAAGCACAAAGAAGTTAGTAGAAAACATATCAATTGAAAAGTGAGTTGAATTTGAGTCGGTTTATTGTGGTTTTAATTGACACTGAAATCCAAAAGAGCTGCGCATTTTTCTTTATAAAAACCATTTGCATACCATGTCAGGCACATATCCATCATCTTCTTTGTACATACACTTCTACAGATTTCATTTTGTCTATTGAATGTCCTATTTTGAGTTCATTGTTTGCCTTTTTTCAAACATCACATTATCATTATCTTATTTTATGAACATTTTTCAAGTCTCACCCTTTTTTGTTTTTCCCACAACTTTTTGTTTTCCTCATGTGTGTCCTGTGTTGTTGTGTTTGTGCGTGCATGTGTGTATGTGTATGTGTTTGCATGTACACTCGTTGTCATGGTACTCCAGAGGAGGAGAGGAGACCCCGCCGCAGACGAACTCCCCGCTTTCTCTTAAAGCCATGAACTCGCTCCAGGCAGGCCACAGAACGCAGGCCGGGCCTGCAGGTAAACACAAGAGAAATGTAGAGACTAGAGACTCTAAATAATGTGTTGATTGGTAACGGATCTCAAAAACTTGCTTGTGGTAGATAATTCAACGCTAATTAGATCCAAAAGCTACATAGCGTATAGCCTCACCTGGCTGTTCAGTAAACTATGTCAGATATAATGAGTCATTCAAGAATACATTCAAATGTTCCTACTTGACTTTTGTGTTGGTTAAAAAATTATTATATATTTGTAGTCAAATCTGGTCCAAGTGTAACCATGTTGGGTCAAGGTTCAAGGCTTGTATTAGTCATACGTACATACAGTAGCTCCAGTGTAGTTATGACAATGAAAATCTTCGGTCATAATGAAGGGGTCATAATGGAAGTTGAATTCCAACTACATGTTTGTGGGGAAAAACTATAACTCGAATTCAAATTTAAACTTGTATTTACTAAGGACAAGTTTTGGTTGGTACTAATGGCAGCAGGGCTTATCGACAGCATACACAAACAACAGTCAAATGTATAAGGACTCTTACAATGCAAATCAACAAAACTAAAGGAAAACGTATTACAAATCCTGTGCTGGACGATTAAACAGATCAACTATTTACATGCATTTGGCAAGAGAGGGAAACGCATACATCCTTAATGCAAAAAAAAGAATAATAAGTGTTGAAATAAATGTTACTGTGATACATGTTTCTGTGAAATATAACCACACCTTAAGAACAACTCACTGCTGATAGTTTACAGATTAAGTCATTCATTATGCAACAATATACTGTATAAACAATATAATAATAATGATAATCATTATAATACATTGTATTTTACAAGTGCTTTTCCTGGTGCTTAAAGATTCCTAATATCTATCTAACCTCTATTCAAGCATTTTCATCTCAGTATCAAGACTAAATATCATTTTCAAGCAGCTGTTTTTACTATATGTCACTCTTTTTCATGTCTCTTCTACATCAACATGTGTCCCCTCTGTGAAAAGAGACTCTGGAAGTTTCAGGAAAAAAGATTCTCTCTCTTTTTGTCCTGATCCATTTATATAAAAACCTGTCTGAAAATGAGCTGATCAGATTTTCGCCACTTTGTGATGTCATAACGATTTTTTGGCTTGTGTAACTATTAGCCAATCAGCAACCAAGGTAACCCCCCCTCACCTTATCACCTGAATCTCCTCCTAGAGCACCTTTGTGTTCTTTTTAACCAAATATCTCTCAGAGGGGCGTGGGGAGGGGCTCCTTATTTTCATCTAAAGTAACAGACAGAGAATCAGCACTTTTGAAACAGGGCTGAAACAGAGGGGATTATGGGATGCTGCAATGATCTGTTTGGTGTTTCAGCCAAACACTTCAGAGACATGTTTTGTATATCTCTGAGACCTATAATATATTGATGAAAAACAGTATAATAGGGGACCTTTAATTGAAAACTTAAATGAATCGAACCGTTCTGGAACAGATGAAGCAACATTACCTGACGTGAGTTTCAGACGTGTTGTTGATCTGTCTCCCTCAGACGGTGCTCTGGTGTCAGACCTGTGTGGAGACGGATGTCCTCAGTTCGGCTGTCCCTTCTCCCTCCTGCCTCTGGACGATCTGCGGGACCCCGGCTCCGGCAGTTGTTGTCCCTCAGCTCAGCTCCAGCCCCCACCTCAGTGGAGCCCTCCGTCCCGCCACGAGGACCCCCGTCTCTCCGGCCCCTGTTTCTACCAGCTGCACATGTGTGGTGGACCTTTTGTCTCTGAGGACGGAGATGCAGCGGGCGGAGGGACGGCCCCCCCCCACGGGCTGCAGGTGGAGTTCAGCCTCCCCTCTGCCTCCCCCCCCTCCTCCTCTGTCCTCCCATCACACTTCCAAACACTTAGCGGCCTGCTGCACACCTCCCCCGTCCAGCACCCCCCCTCCCCCCTCTCACACAGTGATGGGACATGGGGAAACTGAGTGGTACTCTTCATGAGATGTTTGCTGGTGTTTACTCGCACCGGACGTTGAGAAACCAGGACACAAAGTGCATTTCCTTAACTTTGATAACAAGGACGGACCTCCATAGCTGTCTGAACTCTCTTTTTTGAAGCTGACACACTTGAACCCTCTTTCCATTGTGGAAGGACGAGTGTTAATCACTCCTTCAGGTGTCGAGGATGTGTTTATGAACTGTTTGTTACAACAACCTGCACCAGGGCAGATACATTGGTTATGTATAAATGTGAAGCACAGTGCAGGTGATGAACTGCAGTGGCTAGCAGTCATTTCTTAAACAGATCAATTATTTACAATGTTAACCACTGTTTCTTTGTTTTCTTATTTATCAGGGTGGAACAGTTTAACTGCAGCTCAGATTTCATCCAATCATTTTTTTTTAGGTTTGTTTTGCATATTTTTCAACAGTTCTGCAGCCGGTTGAGATCTTCATGAGTGACACGGTGCTGGAAATCTGACCACGGAGTAAAATGTGTCCCTTCAAAACTAAATAATTTATTTAAACATTCTGTTTGAATGTCAACTTTAATAAGTTTGTAACTAGCTCTCCCTCTTCTGTCCCTGATGTTGATAATGTCTGTATTTCCAACCTCCTCCACTCCACCTGTCTGAACATGTTTGGCACAAGAGTCAATCTCATCAATTTAGTTTTATATACGAAAAGCTTAAAACAGATGCTTCATATTTTTCCGGATCTATTTTTATTTTCCGATTTGTTGAATTTTTCATCCTTTGAAGAATTACATTGAGATTTATAAAGGCGCAGTGCTTTGTTGTCATTTCTGAAAAAACACGGTGCATATTCTGTATCATTAGGAGGCGGTTTGACATGAATAATAGCCATACAAATCAATTGTGTTAAGTCGGTGTACAGTACATGGAAACATAGGTAAGTGAATGCGATCACACTTCCTCAGGATCTCCAACTGATGATCCCCATGACCCGTAGTCAGTTACCATTGATTTGGACAAATGGATCAGAAAAGAGAGCAATTAAATGTTAATTGGATTGAGATGCATCTTGTCTTGTATCAACATTAGATACAAAAGATGGTGGGGTATAAAGATAACTAGAATATTTAATATAAAATGTGTTGCAACTCGTGCTTGCCTCTTTAGTCTAAGTGAGATCTGAGCAGTGAACAAGGTTGATCAAAGGCACATCAGTGATATTTGAACAAACAGAAAGTCTCTTTTTCCTCTAAAATGTGTCTTTCACCCACCTCTGCCAGACATATTGAAATAAACAGAAGGCACCCTTTATATGAATGCATTAACATTTCCAATAATGACATATTGTTCTCCACTTAGGATGCGCAATACAGAATGTCCACTTTTTCTTACCGGTATCCAAAAAGTCTCGTTTCCCCTTCAATGAGATCTGTAAATCTGATCATATTCAACCTACAGTGTCATTTCTCTAAATAAATCTGCTAGTTGCAGAATAATAAAGACTGAACCGTGGTGTGATGGCATAGATGTGATAAATGCATATGAAGGTGGACGAAGCTAATATTAGGCGTTATTACAGGGGATAGATAGATGAGCTTTAGGAGGCCACTTATTAGAAAATGTGCATTCACTTTTTCATAATTTCACAAAATCACGTATTGATTTGTGTATCCGTTCAAACATACGTGTTGTTTCTTCAGCATGTGAGTGTATTCTAGTCGCAGGTTTGAGCTATCCTATTGATTTCTGTTTCTGTCTATTAATGGTGGAGCTCTTCTTGATATCCCTGTTAAAGCCACGCCATGTTTCAGATCAATGTTTGTTTAGTGTCTGTTTACATGAGGGAGAGGCTCCAGATCAGGCAGGATAAGGCACTGAATCACTGCCTTTTAATTCATTTATTTCATTTTAGCAATTTATACATCTTACTGCTTCTGTTATGTTTGTTTATAATTATTATATTTTGTAAAGAAAAGGAAGAAACTATTAAAATGAACAAGTTGAAATGCTATGTGCTTGTATAAATTATTTTAAAAGCTGATAAAGTGTCTTGTTTGTGAGATAGATGTGTCGTATATCACAGTCTCAATATTAAGTGCACATAGAAGGAACATTCACATGTTACAAATACACACACAACTATTTTCTTGTTGCAAAAATATATTTTTAAAATCCACAAACACACGTTTTAATGTACACAGGAATAGTCGCCATACTATAAATGAAAATCCACATGTAAAAAAATACAGCCACAACTATGTGTTTCTTTGAATATATATATATATTAGAAATCAACAATGTAAAAGTATTTTTTTAATTTCTCTAAATAAATCTCAAACATATTTGGATGTTGTTCATTTGTTTATAAAATATCGAACGTGCATTTAGAAACTCCTTCCTAACTTCACTGCAATGCATTATTGTAACTGAAAGTTATCTGTGGCCATGAGATGTCTCCCTTATCCTCAATCACAGCAAGTACAGCAGATATCCCTGCAATACTGTGTGTAGTACAGCAGATATCCCTGCAATACTGTGTGTAGTACAGTGAGTATCCCTGCAATACTGTGTGGAGTACAGTGAGTATTCCTGCTGTACTGTGTGTAGTACAGTGAGTATATCTGCTGTACTGTGTGTAGTACAGTGAGTATCCCTGCTGTACTGTGTGTAGTACAGTGAGTATCCCTGCTGTACTGTGTGTAGTACAGTGAGTATCCCTGCAATACTGTGTGTAGTACAGTGAGTATCCCTGCTGTACTGTGTGTAGTACAGTGAGTATCCCTGCTGTACTGTGTGTAGTACAATGAGTATCCCTGCTGTACTGTGTGTAGTACAGTGAGTATCCCTGCTGTACTGTGTGTAGTACAGTGAGTATCCCTGCTGTACTGTGTGTAGTACAGTGAGTATCCCTGCAATACTGTGTGTAGTACAGTGAGTATCCCTGCAATACTGTGTGTAGTACAGTGAGTATCCCTGCTGTACTGTGTGTAGTACAGTGAGTATCCCTGCTGTACTGTGTGTAGTACAGTGAGTATCCCTGCAATACTGTGTGTAGTACAGTGAGTATCCCTGCTGTACTGTGTGTAGTACAGTGAGTATCCCTGCTGTACTGTGTGTAGTACAATGAGTATCCCTGCTGTACTGTGTGTAGTACAGTGAGTATCCCTGCAATACTGTGTGGAGTACAGTGAGTATCCCTGCAATACTGTGTGGAGTACAGTGAGTATCCCTGCTGTACTGTGTGTAGTACAATGAGTATACCTGCAATACTGTGTGGAGTACAGTGAGTATCCCTGCAATACTGTGTGGAGTACAATGAGTATCCCTGCAATACTGTGTGGAGTACAGTGAGTATCCCTGCTGTACTGTGTGTAGTACAGTGAGTATCCCTGCTGTACTGTGTGTAGTACAGTGAGTATCCCTGCTGTACTGTGTGTAGTACAATGAGTATCCCTGCAATACTGTGTGGAGTACAGTGAGTATCCCTGCTGTACTGTGTGTAGTACAGTGAGTATCCCTGCTGTACTGTGTGTAGTACAGTGAGTATCCCTGCTGTACTGTGTGTAGTACAGTGAGTATCCCTGCTGTACTGTGTGTAGTACAGTGAGTATCCCTGCTGTACTGTGTGGAGTACAGTGAGTATCCCTGCTGTACTGTGTGTAGTACAGTGAGTATCCCTGCAATACTGTGTGGAGTACAGTGAGTATATCTGCAATACTGTGTGGAGTACAGTGAGTATATCTGCTGTACTGTGTGTAGTACAGTGAGTATCCCTGCAATACTGTGTGGAGTACAGTGACTATATCTGCAATACTGTGTGTAGTACAGTGAGTATATCTGCTGTACTATGTGTAGTACAGTGAGTATATCTGCAATACTGTGTGGAGTACAGTGAGTATATCTGCTGTACTGTGTGTAGTACAGTGAGTATATCTGCTGTACTGTGTGGAGTACAGTGAGTATCCCTGCTGTACTGTGTGTAGTACAGTGAGTATATCTGCTGTACTGTGTGTAGTACAGTGAGTATATCTGCTGTACTGTGTGGAGTACAGTGAGTATATCTGCTGTACTGTGTGTAGTACAGTGAGTATATCTGCTGTACTGTGAATGTGGAGAGCAGCAGCAGGAAATGCCCTCGTGTGACGTCATGGTAACTGTTTCTCTTTATCTCATTGGTCCTCCTGTTCTCAAGGGCAGCTTTCAGCGGCAGATAAGGAGCTCCGCTGCTAATTACGCAAGCCTTTCATTTGAGGAGAATAAATGTCAAGTGGCCATGAAAGACGCCTCTGGGAGAGCAGCTAAATAAAGTGAAGTGTTTTTATTATTCTGCAGTCAGTTAATAGAAAACTGAAGGATTCCTTAAAAGACCAATAACCAAATGACAAGTTTTCTTTCACTAAAAAAGGCAATCTGTGAGATATCATTTTGATTTATTGTCTTAAATAATCAAGGTTGTTTCCACTTAGAGTGTGACTGAGGATGTACATTCATTAATCAGGAGAAATGCTCTTTTTTTGCATTTCAGTTAACTCAAGTAAATAAGACTAGTTAGGAGAAGAACATCTCAGGTTAAGCAATGTCTTCTCTAGATAATCTGCATTCAGCAATAGATGGCCACTGGTTACAGAGATGAACAAACACATGTGGAAACATTTCTTATCACAATGCAATTATTGGCCTGCTGAACAAAAGTTAGAATGTAAAGATGACCTTTTACACCTGGATGTCCCCCTTTAACCTTTAATACTATTTAAATGGAGCTCAGCGCAAGTTCTTTCAGGAAGACTGGGTATATATATACATTCACTCCGCAGCTGCTTATAATCAGCTCATCACTCTTTAACCTATTACATTTCACCTCATCCAGCCAATTACCGTGCTGCAGCCAAACTTTAAAATGGTTCTCCTCTCTCCTGCAGTCAGCTGTGATTTCAGGTGTTCATGCTGCCGACCGCCTCCTCCCCATCCACCTCCTTTCATCATATCCAGTGCCAGGAGAGCTAACCCAAAGACCTCATCACACCTCCTCTTCATCCCTTCTCCTCATCAAATCCAGATCTTCAGCATCATCACCAGTGTCTAGACCCCGGGGGGTTCCCTATATGCTCACGGCTGCATTTCCCCGTTTAGATGCCAAAGACTTAACATTTATCATATGACATGTGTTAAAGGGGACCTATCATGCAAAATGCACTTTTGTACGTCTTTTATACATGAATATGTGTCCCCGGTGTTCCAGGGAACTCACCAAGTGTCAGAAAACACAACCGTCTCTATTTTCCTCCATACCCAAATCTCTAAAAACGGGGCTGCAACGGATCTGATAAAGACTGATACAGATTTGAAAATTTCTCTGACGTCAGGACGGCGGAGCTGACCTATCAGGGGAATGAGAGGTTGCCGTGGCATGGTAACAGCATGGTAACAGCATGGTAACACGACGCTCGTAACTCGGCCCCCTCCTTTGCAGGGGGGCGTGGTCAGCTGCAGCGCATGCAAAGACAGGGGTGGAGGAGAGCAAAATAGAGCGAAATGAGGCATGGCTAAAATGCATGATCTGTTTGGTATTTTGAAAAAGAAAACGTATAAATATACCTTATATAGGTATGGCCCTACAATATATTATTCAAATATAGCATGATAGGTCCACTTTAATAAATGTTCTTTAACAAAATGAAGTCTCTCCTGATTGAACTGTATGGAGAAAACTCTGAAGTTCAACGTTTTCCTTTCAAATGTTCTCCTGACTCAAAGACAACAGCTCTTCCTCTCTGCCAAAGCCAAATGATGGGCTGCTGTTCAGAAATAATGACGTCATAGCCGCAATTATCCCAATCGAGATAACCGTTTTGTTGATGGAGGTTTTTTTAAATGGGAAGAAAAAGTGAGAAAGAGACCAAGGCTTAATTACATTGTTTCTAAAGGACATATTGAAGAAACCTGACCCCAGATGCCCTGGTAGCCTTAGGTTTTTCTAAACAGTAAAAATTGGCCTTCCTGCGACTGCAAGGGAGTGTGGTCGTCTTTCAACCAGAAGGTTGTGGGTTCGATCCCAGTCTGTGCAGCCAACATGTCGATGTATCCTTGGGCAAGATACTTAATCCTGAGTTTCTCCCGATGGCGTGTGTGTGTGTGTGTGTGTGTGTGCCTAGAGTAAGGTACACTGCTCTGTATGAATGGGTGAATGACATGTAGTATGTAAAGAGCTTTGAGGGGTCGTAAAGACTGGATAAAGCGCTATATAAGTACAGTCTATTTACCATTTCCTGTGATGAGTTTCAACAACTGTTTTTACAATATCTCCTCTGACAAGTCCTCTTATAACCCTAACCCTAATATAAGTAGAAGACCAGTTCGTAAAATCATACCAGTACATGTCCAGCATGCTTTGGCCTAAAGGCTAAGTAGATGTCTGAGAGTCAGAAGGTTGCTGGTTTGATTCCCAGCATGGCAGAGTGAATTTTGGAGAGACATTTATGCAATATTTGCAAAATCAAGCATTTCCTTATTATACTGAGAAAGCAATAATAAAAGTATATGTTTGAGGATGTCACTCTTCTGAGGCATATACTGAGATGAGGTGTCACTGTCAGAAATAGCCAGAAGGGGGCAGAAACACCTCATCTGTAAACATGTTCCCCTTAATTTTACACTGACATCTCCATGGTGTTTCCTTTTTCCTCCCAGATAGATTTTATTTTCACACTATTACGTTGAATTGATGGTTGCACAGTACTAAATAGAATCTTATAATAGTGACTACTTTTGTTTTCCCTTTAGATCATTTATTTTAGACGTGCATACAAGTGAAGAGGTTTTCATAGATGGCATTTGGCCAAGTGGTGGATGTCTGCAGTTTGTTTGTTTGTTTGTTTGTTCTGGGTGAATATATCAGAAGTTTAAAAATTTCAAAACTGAGAAGAAGAGCTTTGGATCTGTTCTTCTCTATTTTAATGATGTATTACAGATGTACATTTATTTCCAGATCTTTGTAGCTTTTAAATCTCCATGATCAAATATCCCTTGCTCTTTATATTCTACCAATTGCTTATATACAGAAAGTCAAATAAAGCTTGTTTTGTGCACCTAAGATAATCAATTGAACTCAAGGGTGCTGAGCTAATAGACCCGGGGTTAAACGTGGTGCTTGTCATGCAAACAGAATGAACTCTTACACACAAATGACTGCAAAGTGATATAATGTGGCCAGCATATACAAGTGGTGGTCTGGTATTGAGTGCTGTGGGGGAAACATCCAGACCGCCTGGGGCAAAGTAAAGCATTCTGTTTGGAGTCATGCTGGTGTAAAGTCATGCTAATGTTGCTACAGTCCCAGCAGGGCTTATTAAAGTCTCCCTGCTTTTGTTAGGCAGCAGTTTTGTCCTCTATATATTTTTTTAATCACCCACCAAGTGTGCTCAGTGTGAGTACAGCTCCCAGTGACATGGAGGTGTTGACTAATATGTTTGCACCTTAGGACCAGTTTGCTTTTCTAGTCAGCCTTGATTAAATCTCTCTTTCATATCTGGGAGAAGAGTGCACTCTGGGAAAAGGTTAAGTTCTCATCAAAACTGAGAAGTTAAAGAGTTATACTTCCTGTGGAGCTGTTATGGTGGAACTGCAATGCATGATGGGAGGGGATTATGTAGGGCTCTCATCTATAAGTGAGGACGTCAGAAAAGGGGCAGAGATGAGTCCTCAATTAAAGCCACAACCTTATGAATACAGATCACGAATGAGGTCAATTGTTTCAGGATATTACTTTATTTCATATTTTTTTCCAAAAGGCATTACATTTTCAACTATATGTTATTTGATTGTACTTTCTGTTTGATCTATCTTATGTACATCGCTTACTTACTTATCCTGCACAATAATGTCACTTGCACTATTTTATTACTTTTTTCTTATACGTCATAACTTTATTTTTGTTGCACTGTTGGAGCAGCCTGGGAATTAAAGAGGCCTTATTATGCTTTTTTGGAGTTATCACATTCCTGTAGTTTGTAATATAGGTTTTTTTTGTGCATGTAAATGGTCTGCAAAGGCTAAAATCTCAACATTTGAGAGTTTCTCTCCCACCCACCCACCAACGCCTCCATTGGATTGGTTTGTTCAGTTCCGTAACATAGTGACTTCATTATGTACTCGCGCTTCTATTGGCTAGACCTCCAACACATTGTACGTGATAAGGGGCGGGACTTCTCTAAGCGGTTGACCAATCACAACAGAGCCGGCCAGCTAACCAATCAGAGCAGACTGGGCTCTGGTTTCAGACAGAGGGTGAAAAGAGGTGCTGTAGCACAGGCAGTATGAGAAAAATAAAGCGCTTTTTGAACATTAAAGGGCCCATGTCATGGCCATTTCCACTGATCATAATTACATTGTTGAGGTATACTAAAATAGATTTATACTGTGCAATTTTCCAAACTCACATTGGTTTCGCATACAGCATCTCTGTCAAGCATGTGTATTCAGCAGTATTCACTTTCTCCACTAAACGACTCGTTGGAGCTCTTGCCCCCCCCTCCCTGTGAGCCTAGTGTGCTCCGATTGGTCAGCTCGGCCACTCGTTCTGATTAGTCAACCACCAGAGAGGCTGCGCCCATGTCAGTGCTTTTCCCGGCTGCTCTCAGCGTAACATCAGTCTTATCATGGCGTCGGTACAGCGGTATATTTTATATACATATATATTTTTAACTGTTGTTATAGAAGAGTGTGACGGCCCCAGGGCCTTTGTCTTACGATGGGGTGGAGCTGAAGCGGCTAATCAGCACGATCACGGACACCTCCGGACACTACGGCCCCAGTCTCTCTCCAAAGCGGCTGCAGGAAGACTAACTCTGCGATCCTCTCAACCACCTATCTTTGCATTTACCACAATAAATGTGCCGTGGTTTTGTAAACTCGTGTATGTCTCCTTGTCTTTCCGTTGTGGCCTACGAGCTACTCTCATAACAAAGAGTAAGTTATTTTTACCCGTTATAAACTACTACTGTTTGATGAGAAATCAAATCATGGTTTGCTATATATGAATTCAGGGAAGAAAGGATAGGCCTACTAAGTATTTCCATTAAACTTTATTTTTAGAAATGTACAAAATGAACATAAATATACATATATACACGGTATATCATCCATTCCTCCTCCTCTTGCCTGCGCACAGCCGGTGCGGTGCGGTGCCTTTTAGCACGAGGCCTCAGTAGTAGTAGAATCCCTTCCCCGTCATGGATTGTCCGCCAGGATCTGGCTGGACGAAATCAAATGCAAATCACAAAATATTAGAGAAACTTAGTTGTTTTAGATTCGTTAGTAGTAGTTGTGTAATGAACAGCTTGCCTGCTAATATGCTAACCTAGCTTTGTTTACCTTGGTAGCTAACACGATATGAACGTTAGCTTGGAGGAAAGGCAACTATAATGCAGTGTAATAAAACTACTATGAACAAAAGCTAGTGGTTCATATTAGGCTAGCAATAACGTGTTTATAATTGCAATCGTATACGGGTATTCTGCTACCATACAATGTAACTTGCATGAATACATTGTTTTGCGCTAGCATACAGCTAGCCTCGTTAGCTACATGCAGTATATGTACGGTCACAATGTACGGTAAACCGGAGTATACTGTATGAGTATTCCGTGTGTGTGACTGCAGACATTCTCCTGCCATGACAAACATGTAAGGCCATCTGCTGACATTGTAGTTGATATATTTAAACGCTAGCAACGTAGCATCACAAAAATGTTTTTCTGACCAAAACTAGCTCAAGCTCCGTGTGTTAGATCGCTACGCCAGCTATAATGTAATTACGTTTCGCGACCTGACCGGCAAATCACCCGCAGTATACTGTCAATAGGTATTTTGTGTGTGAATGCAGACATTCTCCTGCTATGAGATACATGTATGCAAGGCCATCTGCTGATATTAGAGTTGATATATGGAAACTCTAGCAACTTAGTTAGCACAGTTAGCACTGTGTCAATGGCTTAGCAGTCCAACACAGTTTACACATTTAAACAGTCTTGTTTGATAAATACACAAATAACAATGCAAACTTACAGGTTGTATACCCAGATCTTCCCCTGCTCCAAACGGTCCAAACAAGCTGTGCATATCCGGCCTCAAACTGGGCAATGTTTTGGAAGCTTTCGTCTGTGAAATGCCGGTTCTTCGAACCTCTGGAGGAGGAACACGCCGCTGCTGGTGTGGCCATAGCTCTTCGGGATTGGTCCATTTCGTTCCGGGTACCGCATGACATCAGGCGGTACCCGGAACTAAATGGAAGACTCAAATGGGCAGTGACGTATCTCCAACGAGGCGTTTTGGGGAGGTATTTTCTGTGTTAGAGTTTTACTCGCTACAGGGTGTACTTTGAGGGTTTTGACTCTGCACACCGTTTACATGCATAAAAACCTTCATAACACACAAGGGGACGGGTAATAACCGGAAAAGCATGACATGGGAGCTTTAAAGCATGGAGACATGTCACAGTAGAGACACTACATACTGATATACACCTGAAAACGATCATAATAGGGCCCCTTTAATATGTTCCTTGCTATTCTGCATATGACAAAAATGCATTTGAATCTTGAATCTCTAGTATTTTTGACTTGACAAGTAGTTTGTGTCAGAGGTACTCCTGTCAGGCACCTCCTCCTGGTCTGATCTGTAAAGGGTTTGAGTCCTTTCTACTTTAAAGACATTCATAAAAAGTTTGTTTGCAAGGCAGGGAATAAAAAACCAAGCAAAGCCTCTGAGAAGTTGTTGCTCTTGCTCTGTCACGCCTGTGCGTAAAAAACATTGGAGCCAGACGAGGAAGTGAGGAGGAGGGACCAGTTTGGTGGCGTGGTTTGTGCGGAGAATATACTATAAACTGGATTCTCCTGACGCCTCCAGCGCTGTGAAACCGGAGGATCTCTCCACTTCTCATTTTGTATCCAAAGCAGTAATGCGCGCAACAGCACGCGAGACTCCAGAGCTCCTGCTTCTCAGCTCGGAAACGACTTGTTAACCCGCAGTCTTTGTAAGAAAGCTAGACACCTTTGCTGTCAATGTCAGCGCAGGTAGGGAAGAGGATCCCGGAAGAACTCGTAGTGCAGGTTACCAGTTTGTTTGCATAGCCTGCGCTTTTTATCCAAAGCGAGCGAGAACCGATGGACTTGTTTGCCTCCTTGCTTAAGTAGTTTTTTTATTTCTTAAAGTTTTTTGAAGTGTATAAACGGAGACAAGATGAAGGAGAAGAAGACGCTGTACGTGTTGGTGGACGTGATGTGCGTTGTAGTTGGTAAGTTATGGACACTAAGTACTAGCCTCTTCAGCATTATCTGCCTTTTATCTAGGAATTGCACATCAGTGTTGTCAGCAGGAAAGCTGATAGCATGAAGATATATCTGTGTGCTGACAGCAGTTTCTTCTCTGTGCTTGTGTGTTTTGCACTCATGACAGCAACTGAGGAATGTATGTGCACGTTAAAAAGACACAAAGAGGTTTTTAATGAGAGACACCAGAAGCTATCTCTCTTTAAAAGGCAAATGAAGCCACTGTGTTTGCATGCGTGAGTCAGATACTGTAAAAGAACAGCCTGTCATCCGGTGTGTTTATCCAAACTGCGATATATTAGTGCAGGCAGAAATGTGACTTTAAAATATGACCATGGTGGAACACAAGAGGAAATATCATTCTTATTCTCATCACATGCTGCTCCATGCCCCAAACTATTCAACTGAAACCCTGCAGGACTTTACAGAGCCTCAGGAAGCTCACTGTTTGTTTATGGAAATCTGATATGTGTGTGTGCCCAGCTCATTCCTCTTTCTCTTCAATATTTTGTCTGCCAGGAATCCTGTCTTGAATTCCCCAACTTCCCACATGCATTTCTAAAGGATGTTTCTTCAACAGTGCTCCACAGACCATTAGTTCACATCATTGTGTTCATGTTTTTGTCTTCTTTGGACAATGAACAAATAATGCCATGTTGTGGTTAAAGTTTTTAACACGTGTCTTTTGCTGTCCAGATTTGATGAAAGGATGTGAATATGAGGTTAGGAGGACCACAGGTGTCATTTACATTTTTATAAAATATCCCATTAACATATATGTACAGAATTTGGACATTTAACCAGGAATCAATAACATATTTTACTAAATGAGTATTAAACTCACAAATATATACATTAATTTCTAGGTATTTCATTTGTCTAAATCTACCTTATCTGCAATAAAACATTTTTTTTTAAATAAGTCAGTACACTAATAATATTTATATAACATTTAAATAAATATGTATAGAGATATGTCATACAATACAACAATCAATAAATGCATAATTTAAAAAAATCCAGCTTACAGCTTAAAACATAAAAACATCTGAATGCTTTAAACCGTCCTGGTCCTCCGTTATAAGTTACTAAGAAAACATTGAAATCACAAATACCAGCAAAAGTGAGAGGCATCACCACCATCACTCTCAGAAAAGCCGTTTTCTGCCTCAGATATTTTACATGTATGTGGAATGTAGCACCCTGCTGGGACTTTGGTTTTACTGTACTATCGCAACAATCCATTTGCAGACGTGTTGTGTAATAGTCTGGTGTTTGGCGGCGTGCTCATCCCCTGTTGTGTCTGCATTCAAAGAGAAAACTCAGAAAAGGACGCATGTGTGGATCTGCTCTGTTGTGCAGTTTCAGCCCCTCTCTGGATTTTCAGAGAGCTTAGGGGTACTTTTTCCGTCTGTGGGAACATCCACAGACTGCTGAAGTTGATAAGCCTCACCATTTCGCTGTCACAAGTCTGGGATTGACGTCTGAGTTGGGCTGAGGTCTGGATAACTGCATCCCACCAAACAGTGCCTCTCCCTTCCCCTCTGCCACCCACGTCAGCCCGCCAAATAATCGTCAAGTCAACCCCAAGCTTATATGAGGTTGCCCAAGCCATGTAATAACAACATAGGGCTTGTAATTATGCTCACCATTAGCCCGTACGGAAACAGTTTGGACTTGGGATTTGTCTGCATTTTGAGACTATTTACATTTCTTAGTAGAAAAATTCACGTGTGATTCCACCAACGCTGACTCTAATCCTGTCTAATTTACAACTTATTTTATCTTCTTAAGCTTTTCCTCACGGCCCATTTCTTTATCTGCACTACGTTCATCCTCTGACTCTGAAATATTAATCTCCTGATATGCAGCGTGCATGTGTCTCTTTCTTGTTATGTCATTCAAATGCTAGAAGCAGTAGATACGATCACTGAGGGATTTCCTTCACGCTCCGTCACTCACACCCTGCCCTGCCCAGGTCAAACTAACAACACTTGAGATGTTCCTCCTTCTACAGTATCAAACACTGTCTTTTCACCTCTCAATCGATGTGAATCAAAATGGCTGCTGAAAGCCAAAAAGTGTCCTTGTTTACTTATTCCCGTCTTGTCTGATGCACCATGGAGGGCATTGAGTTGCTTTTCAAAAATCTCCTCTTTCTCCATTGTATCCCTCCCTTCCTCTCTCCTCCTCTGTCTCTGTCAGCTTACACTCAGCACAAATAGACGATGGGTGTTGGCTCCGAGAGCAAAGAGGAAAGGCTAATATTAACCTCTTTCTTTTACAACCGTTTACACTCATAGGTGTAGTTCTGCAGGTGCAGGTTGTTCAGGAGGAGGAGCCTGCTGTGTTTCAAGATGGCCTCGAGGCAAGGCATTCACACACAACTTTGTTTTTCCCTGTGTGCTGTAATGTAGGTTATGAAAACAATTTTTTTCAAATGTCTATTAAGTGTTTTTCAATTACTCATGACAGCAACAACACCATTTTCCTGTCATGTGATATTTTGTTATTTGAAAGATGCCGTGCCAGAAATATGACTGGGTTTTAGTATGTCATGCATCTGTTTTGTGTATACTAGTAGAAAGTATAAACAATAGGCTTATTATACAGTAAGAGATGGACACTGTGAAGTTACCCGATGGTTTTAAAACTACGCTGATGAAGCCTGGAGTTTGGTGTTTTGATCGTCGCCATCTTGTTTTTTTGTCAACCAGATACGACATAGAGGGTGAAGCGAAGCACAAGCTAATGACTATAAAGTTACACATTTTACAATTATCTTTCAAGAACTGAAAAACTGTGAAGGGTTGAAGTTGTAAAATAAGCACGTAGTATGGACCTGTCGATCACAATGTAGCCCCGCCCTAAAACATGTGCTGCTTTTATCGTCCGTTTTACTCTAAATTATACCTTTTTAATTTACAAAATTAACATCATAAGGTAAGAAAAAAGTCCTGAAACAAGCGATTCTGACCAAAAAACACATTGGTAAAATGTATTTTGAATTAATAAATCAAGTAAGAAGTAATTTTCTCGTAGCCTTCTATACAGTTTGTATCCACACATCATTATTGACTGAATGATTATCCGATGCTCATCCCAAAACACACAGCTGTAAAACTTTGAAATCTTAGAGTTGCTACGTTTTTCCTTGCATTATTTTCCTCTTAGTAGATTTTGCTTACATGTAAACATCCCCACGCTCTGTTCTCTGACCTCGCTGATGTCTGTGAGAGTTTGTCAGCGCTGTCTCCGGGGAGCTTGGCCTCTCATGCGGTCGCGTTGGGAAGAATGATCGTCCCTAGTTCTCAGTGAAAGGCTTGATGGGAATTGTTTTCCTCAGGAGAGCTCTGTCATGGAAACTGAAGACCTTTTAACAAACAGACACGTCCCACTGAGAAATATGAGCTTGTTATTCTTCTTCTACTCCTTATTGTTGGTTTTTGATTGATTGTAATTGCACAAGGATTTCTGGTAAATCCTTTTAAGTCATCAGTCTTAAGTGGATTAGGATCTTTTGTGGTGGTCTTTTGAAAATAACAATCATAACCACATTTGATTTAGAGACATTACAGCCACATTCCCCAAAAATAAATTCAAGACAAGAGCAGATGTAATTATTTTAGTTTTTAAAGGGGGCCTATTATGCTTTTTGGAGTTTCCCATTTCCCCTAGTGTGTATAGGTTTTCGTGCATTAATGTTCTGCTGAAATCCCAAAGTTCCCTCTAATGGGAGTTTCTCTCCCGCACAACATGCATGATTTGAACATTAAAGCATGTACAAATGTCACAGTAGAGACACAAAATCCAAAAATAAACCTGAAAATGAGCATAATATGTCATATTTTAAAGCAGAATTAAATTGCTGGACAAGTACATGCCAACATCTGTATTCTTCCCAGTGAAGTGAGTCAGAACACATAAGCATAGAGAGTGAAGCCAGGGAACAGGGTTTTGGAAAATGTGGTCCTAATTTGGAGAAACGCTAACAATACCACTGGGGTTAGACAGAAGATAAACATAGATCCATTTGCATTCAGTAATTATACAGAAGAATGACTATATATTTAGCTATGATATGCAGACAAACTGTCAGAGGAGCTCAGCACCATTCATGATATTTCTACAGTTAAACTCCTTCTGCAGACATTTGTGGGTTTGAGGATTAAACCTGTGTGGCCCACGTCTTTCATCCCCTCCAAACCCAGACTCTTTGATTGCCAGATTTATCCGCCCTCCCACCACCTCTCCTGCCACCGTGTCTCCTTCTGCGATGCTTTGGACCTAAGCATGCGTAAATGATGGACGGAGCGAAACAGCAGGATTAAAAATAAAGAATGGGCAGCAGCAGCAGGATTCGGTGTGACTGGTGAAGTTGGGCGTTCCTCGTGTGAATTAGAATTCCAGAGGCCAACGCCGGCAGAGGTTGTAGGCTCAGCACATACCTTCCACATTAGTCAGTCCGGCTTGGGGTGAGACAGTCAGAAAGAGGGAGCGCTGAGTTGTTTTTGTACCGAGAGCCATCATGTCAAGGACTTTAACATCATGTTGATCGAGCTTTGTTGCAATAGGTTTCCTGCTGTCGTTTCAACAACGCATGTTTGAGTGAAGGGAGGGAACAAAAGAGAGCAGGGCAGGAAAAAAAAGTGGAAACTGCAGCTAAGAGGAAAAATGCCTTCCTCTTTCCTCGTCCAATTTGTAAGGGGATAGTTGACAGATGGAGTAAATCACTTAAGGGTGACACTGGGTGAAAAATAAAGAAAAGGAATAGCATGAATGCAAGAGGAAACAAGAGCTTTTAAAGAAGCCATATTATGCTAATCTTCAGGTTTCACAATTGTATTTTGCGCCTCTGCTGTCTCCATGCTTTAATGTTCAAAAAGCTCTTTATTTTTCTCATACTGCATGTGCTGCAGCACCTCTTTTCACCCTCTGTCTGAAACCAGTCAGCTCTGATTGGTCA